TAATTGCCGCAAAATGTAATAACGTTATTACATAATGCATTGAAGACGTTGATTACATTTTGCAGCCATTATTACATAATGCGGTTTGAGTGTGAGTTTATTACATTTTGAAGCCTGATTTTATTACATTATTACATAATGTGCTGTTATTACAAAATGAGGTCTTACACACATGTCCATGTTCTGTGACATGAGGCCGATCAGCAGCTGTGAAGGTAACTTTGATTCWTTTGAGCCTTCGGTGTAAAAACTACAGGAACAGCTAAATCACAAAMATATTCCAGCTCTGTTTGAACCATGTTTGCCTTTTCATATCTTACGGTCTCCAGTGCCATTCAATAATTCAAGCTCTGAGATGTGGACCTGACAGTTCAGGCAAACATAACAAATAAGAAGAAACCCCACCCCCACCCCAGATGCCCACTCTCATTCTCACCTCCAGCAGGAAGGGCTCCGTCTCAGAAACTTTTCCAGTGGCGACACACTGAAAGGAGGCGTTCTGCCCGGCGTTCACCTCCACGTCACCGAGCCGAGAGAAATGAGCCACCTTGTCTGTGGAGTGGGGGACACACAAAACACACACAAACACACACTAGTTAAAGTGGCACATGTGGAATTCAGCTCTGCTGTCTAAATACATTTATTTATGCTTTGAAAAGTTTTGATTTTGTAGAGCCTGGGGAAGAAGTAGACACTCAGGCCTGGATACAACCTCACATTTCCCAACACGCTGAAAGATTTTCTTCTGTTTCAAGTCAGATTGTTGTAAAGTTTTCCTGACATCATAGTTTAAAATCTATAAATATTGTTGTTAAATTATGAAATTTTGGCCAAATATGTGTGTAAATGTGTGTCTGTCTGTTGACAAAATATCTCATAAAACACTGGACAAATTTTAATGAAGCTTGCAGAAAGTAACCTTTGGATGTACATCTATAACTGGCCTAATAAATGATGGCTACCACAGCCAACTGTCCCTAAAACCTGTTAACTGGTGGGCCTATCAAACAAAAGATAACTTGATTGGCTACACAGCTATGGTGTCAAGAGATAAGATCAGAGCTGATTGGCCGATTCTAATCAATCAATCACGCGTACCACAGACAGGTGGGACATGAGGGATTTGACACAAATTTTGTGCTCTGGAGTCTCTATAGATGAACCCACTTGGTCAAAAGAGCTCTTAATCGAAAGAAGACAACCAATCAAATCGTTTGAACAGATTATTAAGCAAATTCAAAGTCCCTGGTAGCATGGATCAGGCTATAAAGAAGCAGGAAGTAGCCACAAACTGGGAATGTACACTGGACATACATTGAAGTTTAAYGGGTTAAGTTCCACAAACTTGGTTCTGGGGCAGAGTTACACTTCCTACCAGGGGCGGACTGGCCGTTGGGAGTACCGGGGCTTTTCCCAGTGGGCCGGTGCATCACTGGGCTGGCACAGGCAGCGAGGAAAAAAYGTTGTGTAGTTGCGCTCAATACCAGTAGATGGCGATAATGCACCAATTCATTGTCTACCAACCACCAACAAAGACCGAAGAAGAAAAGTTTGCTTAAAAAGAGGAACATGTAAGAAGAATAAAACTAATAATAAAAATAAGAAGAGCAAAAATGGACAATAAACATAAGAGAGGAGAACAAAAGTTTAGAGAAAAGAAAAAGCATCTACAAGAAAATCAGCAAAGGGTCAGAAACTGACATTTATTTTCTGCTGGTTCATCATCCTCTTCCTCACTMGAACCTACGTCTGGAGAACAACGTGACCGGGAGAAAGATGGTAATCATGTAGGTGGCTGTGTTTGTTTCTAGTTTGCTAACTTTTAAAACAATGCATTTAGCTGTTAAATAAATYAAGCCATTATCATGTGTGGACTAGGTCCAAACTGTGCTCAGTAGCTGATCATTTTATAAAACGGAGTTGCTTAAAATGTCTTAACATCAGTTTTTTAAAATTTACATCACACATTTGCATTCTAAAAGATGTCTAATATACAATCAGTTTTATACATATTATGCTAAAATTTGGCGAGGTGGTAGCTGAGACCGATCCGGACTCTGACCTCTAACAGGTTGTTGTTAAAAATCAACAAACTTTATTGTGCAGTAACACAAATGTTCACTTAAGGAAACAGCAACAAACTGAAGAAAAATCCATCCTTCGATCCATCATTCTGAAGGAATTCATTAGTTAGATACTGATTTAAAGCACCACACCATTTGTCTTTGTTTCCTTTTTAAGGCTTGACTTTTATAATCTATTATTTGACTATTGTAATGTCCTGATTAAAATAGCTTTAGGTACATGCCCAAAACATCATGACAACACATAGAAAAACTGTTATAAATTCATTAGGAAAGATAATTTCTGTATGAATTGCCTGCGKTCCAGCCATAGGCCTGTAGTGGGTGTACCAGGCACTGAAGATCCCAGACCAGAACTTCCGGTTTCAGGCAGTGCTGCTCAGATTGCTTCAGTGTAAGCAATAAAAGCTTCGCTCGTAACCAGATCTGGGCTGTATGGTTCCATTCACTTCACATTTTAATCTATTCAATATTTATGTGGTTTCGTCACGATTTCAGTTAACAAACACGAAATATTCTTGCAATCCGCTTGTTCCAAAATCAAGTTTTAGGGCAGCAGCATGAGCAGGGAGGCCCAGACCTCTATTTCTCTAGCCCCTTCTTCCAGTTCTTCTGGGAGGATTCCATAGTGTACCCAGACCAACTGACAGTCATAGCAGCTCATGTGTGTTTTCTCCAAGGTCTCCTCCCAGTAGGACATGCCTAGAACACCTCCATAGGGAAGTGTCCTGAAGGTATCCTCACCAGAAACACTTCGACTGTTTCTAGAGCAGCAGCWAACTGAGCTTCTCACCCTATCTCTAAGAGAAAACCAGCTACTCTGTGACAAAAACTCATTTAAACCATTTGTATCCACTATCTTGTTCTTTCAGTCAATGCCCAACATCGGTGGCCATTGCTGAGGGTAGGAATGCAGATTACCTGTAAAAACAGAGAGTGTTGTCTTATAGCTCAGCTCTGTCTTCACCACAATAGACTGATACAGAGGTTGCACTACTGCAGAAGCTGCATCATTCTTTACTCTTGAACAAAACCCCAAGATACTRGAACTCCTCCACTTGAGGCAGAACATCACTCTCAGCCCAGAAAGAGCAATCCACCTTTTTCTGACTGAGGACCATGGACTCAGATTTGGAGGTGCTGGTCCTCATCCCAGCTGCTTCACACTTGACTGTGAACCGCTCCAGTAAGAGCTGAAGATCACGACATGGGCCTAGAATAGAGCCATGCAGGACCCCACAAGTCAAAGGAGCTGTAGAAGAGGAGCAATCTCCTAAATGAACAGAAAAACTCCTACAATTATTAAAAATGGACCCCAGAGGCAAAATGTAAATATTAAAAGCAGAGGGCCTAGAATAGAGCCTTGCGGGACCCCACAAGTCAGTGGAGCTGTAGAAGAGGAGCAATTTCCTAAAGGAACAGAAAATTTGTCAAGTAGGCTCTAAACCAGGATAAAATGGTGCCTTTGATACCAACCAGCTGCTCTAATCGTCGTGACAGTAAGATGTTATAAGCAATGGTATCAAAGGCAGCAGAAAGATCTAAAAGCACTAAAACATCCTGAAACAGCTGTTAAAAGAAGATCATTAAAAACTCTTAAAAGGGTTGTTTCAGTGCTGTGGTGGGATTTAAAACCTGACTGAAACAGTTCACCAATATTATTGTCATGTTAAAAAAAACCTTGGAGTTGGATAAAAACAACTTTCTCTAAAACCTTTGATAAAAAAGAAAGTTTTGAAATTGGTGTAAAGTTTGTGAGAACTCCTGGATCTAGGTTTTTCTTTTTTTATAAGGGGTTGGACCACAGCATGCTTAAAAGAAGCTGGATGCTGCCTGATGAAAGTGACATGTTTATGTGCTATATAATTTAAATTGGCATTGACATGATGATACCAACAGAACCACATCATCTGCAAATAACAGAGATGGAATCCTGAGCTCACCGAACAGGAACATACCGACTTTCCTAACCAAGAACACACAAGTTCATTCCTGACCTTTACCAGTTTCTAAAATGGGTGGGACCTTCATAGAGCTGTGTAAAAACCATTGTCTGAAAACCATCAGAAAACTAAAGCAACAATGGACAAGGGATTCTGATGTTATCAGTCCATGAAATGGGTGTTATTAGGCGTTATCAGTCCCATACAATGGCTTCAGAATGTCCCTACTGTGCCTTCTAGGCTTCAGACTGTCCCGACAGTGCCCCCTAGTGGGTTAATATATCAAAGACTGTGTAAATAACCGAAACATATTTTATTAAATTTTTTGTCCATGCCTGGTGGTGATTCTTGCTCTTGCTGTCCGTATTGGTCTCGAACCCTAGTCTCCAACGCTCTACTCGTTGCCCTACTAGAAGGCCACAATATACACTCATTGGAGGGCGGTGTCTTTAGCACTAACCATGTCATTTTCTCTAAGGTTAACCTTAGTGGCTTTTTGCCTCATATTAACCAGATTTTTTATGCCTCATAATAACCAGATAATGGTTTTATGCCTCATATTAACCAGATAGTGGTTTTATGCCTCATGTTAACCAGATAGTGGTTTTATGCCTCATATTAACCAGATAGTGGTTTTATGTCTCATATTAACCAGCTGACAATCGGAAGTCATTCTATGGGACGGGGACCCTGCTAACCAGTACAGGTGGGACATTCTGAAGCCATTGTAGGGGACTGATAATGGCCTATTAACGTCCATTTCATGGATGATAACATCCGAAGTGGGTGCAATGGAAAGAAGAGTGGACCAACATTCTTCCACAGACTAAAGTCCTGCAGAAAACCATCACAGAGTGCTGCTAAAACAGGTTCTGAAAGCTGCTGGGCCAGTGGCTGGACTTGTTTTTCACATATTTCTTCTGTATTTTGGCTCCATTTTTGCTGAAGAAATCATGACACGATGTAATCAAGTCAAGCGCTTGAATCGGCAGCCCACTGCTCCACGTGTTCACATGTGCGATATGCATAAAATTAATTCC